TCCTATTGATTTATGTGCCAATGGAGTAAATTAGGCTGCTTTTGTATGAAATAAGTATTCTTTAACCTTTAATACAAGGAGTTTTTTAAAAGACATTAGCAAACTCTTTTCTTCGGTGCTTTATGGTATTATATTCCTGCCACTTCTGTCACACAGTAATTAAGATCTTGTCAGACTTTCTATTCTAAACCAAGGTAAGTTTCACTGAATATCTTGACTTTCAAAATTTCATAGAGTTGAATTTTTCCATTCAAGGTGTCAGACGTGGTTAAGTTGTAGAGGTGATCATGGTGGGTGGGGGTAAGGCACAGGTTTTTATTTTGTGTTACTTTTAGTATAATTTTATTAAGCTCTTTTTGTTTATTGCAAAAAATACAAAATGTTAAAAATCTGAGGACTGGGTTATATTCATTATGTTTCTACCAGCTATGTTCATATAAATTAAAGTCATATATTGTCCTGCAGTTAATTATAGAATTATGTAACAATCAAGTTGTAGATTATTTATTACATGCATATATATGTATATATCTACATGTGTTCATTCACCTTACATAATCAAATGTGGTCAAATTTGTGCCTGGGAGAAGACATATCACAGGGATATGAAAATGAACAAGCAGACATATATGGCCTACTTCTTGTGCTCTGGGTTTGGGGTCTAGGGCAAAGAGCTGAAACCCCAACTTTCTGATCCATTCTTTCTGCTTCAGCATTAGACTTCACCAGAAATTGCTGCGGCTCAGTATTGACCAGGTTTTCAAAAGCTGTTGCGTCCTAAAGGACCTCTCAAAAACCTCTCCTGGCAAACAGCATTAGCAGCAAGGGTTTCTTTCATTTATTAAGTGCCTATGAAATGCCAGGCACATTATTAATATCTCTTATGTAATATCCCAGTTAGATATTACCTCCATACAGAAGAAGAAATTGATCCTCAGAGAGGTAAGTGACTTGGTCAGGATAATATCTCTGATTAAAGATAAACTAAGTTTCAAACCTCTATCTGATATGTGTGTGTGTGTGTGTGTGTGTGTGTGTGTGTGTGTGTGTGTTGTGGTACAAACACTTAACATGAGATCTGTCCTCTTCAAAAATTTTTTAAGTGCACAGTTCGGTATTGTTAACAATAGGCACAATATCGTACAGCAAATTTCTAGGATATATCTTGCATAACTAAAACTTTATACCTGTCGGACAGCAACTCCCCATTTTCCCCTCCCCTACTCTCTGGCAACCAACATTCTACTCTGTTTCAATGCATTTGACTGTTTTGATTGTTTTAGATGCCTAATATAAACGGAATCATGAAAAATAGTGTCCCTCTATTACTGGTTTATTTCATTCAGCATAATATCCTCCAGGTTCATCTATGTTGTTACATATGACAGGATTGCCTTCTTTTTTTTAAGGCTGAATAGTATTTTTACTGTACCTTTATATCACATTTTCTTTATCCATTCACCTATCAATAACTATTCAGGTTATTTCCATATCCTGGCTGTTGTGAATAATGTTTCAATGAATATCAGAGAACAAATTTCTCTCCAAGATCCTGATTTCAGTTCTATTATATATCAGGATCTTGGAGAGATCTCTGTTCTCCAAATATAGATATAGATATAGATACAGATGATATAGATATAGATATAGATAGATGTAGATATAGATGTAGATGTAGATTAGAGATAGAGATGAGAGACAGAGGGAGAGAGAGGGAGAGAGAGAGCCAGAGACAGATCTATCCAGAAGTGGGATTATAGGATTACATAGTAATTCTATTTTTAATTTTTTGAGGAACCTCCACAATGTTGTCCATAGCAGGTGCACCATTTTGTAGTCCCACCAACGGCGTACAAGTGTTCCAAGTTCTACATATCTTTGCAAACACTTGTCATCTTTTATTTTGTTTTATTTGATAATAGCAATCTTAACAGATATGAACTACCTCATGATTTGATTTGCTTTTCCCTGATAATTATATCTGATTCTAAAATCCATGCTTTAATCATGCTTTCACACTGCCTTCTCTTAAACCTACTTTAACATTTTCACGAGTCCCCGAAATGGACATCACCAAACATCATGTTATGTGCTTTGTCACAGGAAGCATCAAGACCCTGGAGAGGGACCAGACATCCATGCCAAAATAGACAAATTGGACCTGCCTTCCATTATCTTAAATGATGATAATTGTTTTTTTCCTTTGAATCAGCCCTTGATCTGTATATCTAACAGTATATATAAAACAAAAGAAAGCCACAGTGGTGGTTTATATTATCAGACTCCGCAAAAGAAATTGACAAGCTGGGCACTCTTCCTCCCTCTAGTGGTTAAGTGGAGTCAAAGACATTTGTGTTAGTCTCAAATCCCTTATTTTAGGCTGAAAAAAATACTTTGTCAAAATCGAGTAATATATTTTATATTACGTATCAAGTTAAACTTTGAGAAACTTATAGAAAATAAGTTTAATTATTCTAGAATTAAAAATAGGATTCAATCTGGTGGCCGGAATTCTAGATTTGGTGCTTTTGTTTGACCATTTGGAAAGTGAGGAAGGTGATGTAGTATCAACCAATTTTAATGCCTTTTTAGTATGAGATTTCAATGCAGGACACATTGTCTCATTCTTGAAACACAATGAATTATGATAGCAAGACCATTTTAATCAAAACTTCCTTTAAGAAGTGTGTTAATTCTTTCTCGTTCTTACAAATTAGTAGTATTATTAAGAAAAAAGGTATTCTCTATCTTTGGGTCTTTTAAAAATATATGGTTTATATGCTTCCTCTCATTTCATATAGACATCCTGATTACTAGAAATATGATGGGTATAAACGTGGGAGAACTATAGTATATGTAAGACTTGTCATATCATTATCATTATTAATAATTTAGTTTTTGATAGGTAAGTTCTTTTAATATAAAACAAACTTACCCTTCTTTTAGATACGTTATAGTTGATGGAGAACTGGACCCAAAATCAGAAAAACCTAAACTCAGTTCCCTGAAGTGCCTTTTGTTAACTGTATGACCTTGAGAAAATCACTTAAACATCAGTTTCTTCTCAGTTGTGGAGATAAATACCATTGCAGGAGATTTCAGTGAAAACTAAATTCAATTGACATGAACCCATCTTTGCTCAGTGTAAAGAACTGTATTACTATACAGTGTTCTTAATATTTATTCCAATTTTGGCTTGAGATTATATACATCCAGCACTTGAAATACACATGCATTCTGTTTTGCTTCATTTGAATGTATATATTTTTGAAACCAGTAAATCCTACCAGAAACACTGTCAATTAAATTTTTATTAACAGTTACATTTCCAGACATATTTTCAAAAATCTTGAAATTATTTTTAACATTTTCAGAGCAGATTTACTTAATGATAATCTATTTAGGGGATACTAAGCGGGAAGAACCATGTGTGACAAGTAAAGGCACAAACCTTTTAAAAATATGATGCTGTGAACTCAGAAATTTGAGAAATTTCTGATGCCCTGCTCCTATCACAGTCATCTACGGTATATGCTGAGATTTTAAAATGTAGTGGCATAAAATTGAAGAGACAAATATTATAAAGTTATATTCTAAGAGGATATATTTCAGTAAATAAAAACTATGTCATGTTATTATGATAGTGTGTGTCAGTCAAGGCAACCACACACACACAAAAATCAACTCCCTCAAATTTCCATTGAATATGATGTATCGATTGACTTATGAAGTTTTGTGAATTATGGATGCTGTTCAGTTTGGTGATTCTAAGACAGCAAAATCCAGGGGAAAGGTCAATAGACTTAAGAAATCAGAATAGTCAGATTTGATTCCAGCTCAGCTATTTCCAAGACTGTGATCTTGGTTAAAACTCCTTTGGATATTCTTCCCAAGATGATCCTGTGTGCCATGAAATCATGTTTAAAAGTGTCTTTGCAACAAAGCCTCATTAAGTGTCTCCCGAGTGTAAAATATGGCCTATGATCATCATAATATCTGGGTAGAGATTTCCAAAAACAAGAAGCAAACAGAAACCTCTATATCACAAATATCTTAAAATTTCAAGTTGGAGCCATAATCTTTAGTTCTTCCCTACCTGTCTACCACTCCCCACTATTTCTATTTCTTCTTTTCTTCTCTGTCTTTCTGCTTCCCACAGGATTGTTCATAGGGCCCAGGCACCTTCCTAAATGCAGAGGTTCATATTTTCTTTTTCTTCTTTGATTTCTCAAGCCAAGAAATTTGCAAGGCTACTGAAGTCTTCATGTGCCCTCTCTGTGACAAGAACTGCTCACTACAGAGACTCAATGAAAGCTGTATCTATGCCAAGGTCAGTGTGCACCCTCACATTCTCCCTGAGCTCTACTTTTTCTAAGAAGCAGATAGTAAAAAGTCCTCCAGTAAATTGCTTTTTACCAAAGTTTAATATCCCCAAGAGTTTAACAACCAATCACTGACAACGGAATAAAACATCACTCTGCAGCAATTACAAAGCGAATATATTTTTATTCGAATATCATTGTCTTTGTTTTTGTATCTGACTATTACCATCATAGACACAAACTTCTACTTGGAATGATATCTATATTATTTTTAGGAGAAGATGATTATTTTTGCTAATGATTACATTTGAATCTTCCATTAAGATTCATGAAATTAAAATACTTTTAATTTTATAGAGAAAATGAAATAGCATACCAAAGTTCTCAGATTGCTGAATCACCTGAAGGTTTTTAAAACTGCTGAAGCCCAAGCCACTCTCCAGAGCAATTAAATCAGAATTTGGGGGTTTGAAATCTAGACATTGATTAGCATATTTTAAAACTTCCCAGGTGATTCCAACATGCACATAAGGTTAAAAAACTGAACTTTATAATGATTCTTATTTATTTGTAGAATGGTTTTATTAAAGTATAATTGACATATAATAAAATGTACATTTTTAAAGTAAATAAATATGTGAGTGTGTGTATATATATATATATATTCATACCAGTAAACCATCACCAAAATCAAGATAAATGAACATATCCATCTCTTGCAAAAGTTTCTTCATACCCTCTTGTAATCCCCTGCCTCCCACCCTCCCAACCTCACCCCTGTGCCCAAGCAACCAACTGCTTTTTGTCATTGTAGATATTTGTACTTTCTAGGGTTTTTGGTAAATGGAATTATACTGTGTATGATTTTTTTCTGGCTTCTTTCATTTACCATAATATTTTAAGATTCATCCATGGCATAATGTTTTTCAGTAGTAGATCATTCCTCTTTATTGCTGAGTAGCGTTGCATTATATGGCTATACCAGAATTTGTTTATCCATTCATCTGTTGCTGGACTTTTGGGTTGTTTTGAGTTGTTTCCATTTTAAATAAAGCAGCTATGAACATTTATCTATTAATCTTCTTATAGACAAGTACTATTATTTCTCTTGGGTAAATACCTAGGAGTAAAATAACTGGATTATATGATAGGTGAATGTTTAACTTTTAAAGAAACTGCCAAGCTATTTTCCAAAGCGTGTATACCATTTGACTTTTCCTCCAGTGGTGTATGAAAGTTCCAGTTTTCCATATAGTCACTAATCTTTAGTATCCTCAGTGTTTTAATTTGAACTGTTCTAATATAGAGTATATAGAGAGAACTCAGTATGGTTTAGTTCCTGGAAAATAAATTTAATTAGTGATGTTTAGTATCACTAATCTTTAGTATCCTCAGTGTTTTAATTTGAACTGTTCTAATATAGAGTATATAGAGAGAACTCAGTATGGTTTAGTTCCTGGAAAATAAATTTAATCCTTTTTGGGTCTTGATTTTAAGATTTGTGTTATACAATTGCATACCTAACTTATATAATTAACCAATGCTGCCCCCAATAAATTAAATTAGATTAAAAAATATTTGTGAAATGGGCTCACAGCAGTGCTCTACCTAGCATTACTGCCCACAATAAAAGCAAGATCCTTTGTTCTGTGTACTCTACCCAATGCATTGTGAATAATGAGGATTTCTAGTCTGGCCGCTAGGAATAGGTGCTATTGCTGTCTCTGCGTGAGCTTCTTACACTGTTACCTCGAATCCTTTCAGATGGTTCTCCTTCCCTCAGGCAGTTTCCTCACATGCATGCTCATTGAAGCACACTGTCTGGGTTGTCCCTCTCTGCACCCTGGTAACTCAGTACAGTAACCTGAGGCAATCATAATGGTCACTTAATTGGCTTCCTACCTCTCAGGGAACATTGCCCTTCATTGCCTAACATCCATTGTCTTAAAATCTGTTGCTTTGTATCTTTTGTATACTCTTTGGTTGTTTCCAGAACGGGGATAAAATCAATCACTGTTATTCCGTCTTGCTCAGAAGTAGAAGTCTCTATGTAATTAATTAATTTTATACCCATAAATCAATTAAAATAAAATCAAAAGCCACTCAATATGCTACTACTACAAGACCAAAATTAGTAAAATTAGCTTTTGAATTATTTATCATGAATGCATGACATTCACAAACAGACATAAAAAGTCTGTTTGTTTATGGTTTAACTTCCAACGTATACCTAGCTTTGAAATCTTTTAAACTTTCCACAAAGATGGCCCATTTTGGAAAGCATTTTCTCAACACTTTTGCAAAAGCCAAGTATATTAGAGTTATTAGATATATATACACATGTGCTTCTCGCAGCCCATGAATTTCAGACACATGACATCCTTAGGGACATCAACAAATTCATATATATGTTCTACTTTTACTTGGACAGATGTAATAAAATACACTGGCATTATCTGAACTCTAAAGATAAGAAACATCCACATATGACAGAGTGATAAAATGAAGAAACCTGTCCAAGAAAACACTAAATCTAAGGGACTTTTGCCATCATGCAGTATCTACATCCCTCTTTCTTCTTGGTAGAAAAGAATATGCACAGGGACAGGTAAGATTCAGAAAGAATTCATTTAATAACCATTGTAAGAAGGGTGGACAACGTAGCTTGCAGAGGAGAATATTGCCTCATGGAATAATAAAAGAAATAAAGCCCATCCGGGTGAAATATTTCATTTGTCCTGCCTGTGTTTGTTCCTCTGACTAAGATAAAATGTAGCTACCTGTTTTATACATTAAAAATCTAAATTGATCATTTATTGGATGAAAATAAACATTCTTTTTTTAATATAGTTTACATCTTTAAACATCTAGAAGTTACTTTGTGGGCAGTGTCAGAAATAATGGAGAAGATTTTTACCAAAGAAATGAGCCAACCAATGTAGAGCATCTAGCTGCACAATCACCTAGCCACATCATCTAGGAACTTTTTGATTCCTTATGGAGTCAATCACCACTTGTGACTAGTAATAGGAAATTATATCTGCCACATTTATTGAAAAATATGTGTCTCCATGTAATTATTCTCTTAATAATTTCAAAGATGTGTTTCATAGAAAAAAAACTAGTGATAAAAGTTATATTTAAGTACATTAAATTTTTTTCTTTGATGACTATTTTAATATTTAAAAGTATGAGAATTGAGAAATTTTTGCAATTAAGTAATTTGATATTTACACATTCATTTAAAAACACCTGATACCACACTAAGCTAGGATTTCTCATTTAAGGTGAAATCATTAAATAGAAGTGTTGTTTTTTTTTCACATAATTCTAAAAATGACTCAACTCTTAAAGTTAACTTTATTCATAATAGTTATTAGTTTCTAGAGTTTTTATTTTTTATTTGTGCAACATACATTTATTCAATACTTAGTAAGAATTTCAGAACTCATATCGACATTGAGGCTACAACAGAAATAGGACAGAGGGTGTTTCTTCTTTAAGAAACGTCATGGAAAAGTCTGTGTAAGACCATACATCAGAATTACCTAGAACATTTGTTTAAAAGCTCATTTCTGGGCCTCAAGGGTTAAGTTTAGAAATTCTTCATATTAACAAGCATCTCAGGAGATTCTGATTCCTGGGAGCACATTTTAAAAAGATGGTGCCCTAAATGAGTAATGGGTTGGGGGAGAGGGGGAACTGATGAATTTTGCACATTTGATGTAGCTTGTGCCCAGGTACAACGGGCATGATTTTTCCCTGTCCAAAAATTAAGAACTGAGGAAGTCAGAGAGGGCTGAACTCCAGCCTAAATTCTGAATCTCTGCACCCCAACCTCCTCCCCCTGTAATAGCCTGGTTTGCAGGGTTGAATCTGCCCAAGAGGCACGTTATACTCTTTAGCCCAGGGAAGCTTTACTGGAGTATAATTGGCATTTTCTAGAGCCTTATGTTTTTCTCAATCCATCAAACCATTTTAGAGAGAAAGCTAGCAATTACAGAAGGTGAGAGAGAGACTTTAAGCTTCCAACCCTATAAGAAATTTATCTCCTTAAACAATACCCACATTTATTGATTTCTAGACACACTCAGGTCTGTAAGAGAAATCAGATGTCAAAGATAATGGCACATTTGTACTTAAACACAGCTTTGTTTGAGGCTCAGTTTGCTTCTGTCTTCCTATATTATCCCTACTCACATCAACAATGTTGAATAAAACGTTTCCTATAAGTCTCCCTATGCAAAAAGGCAAGCTAGTTTTCTAATATAATAATTCATTGCAAATGCACATTTATAGATAGGATAAGGTTATTTTTGCTTTTCAAAAAGTCTATTATGTTGCTTTGGGAATTTTCTTGTGATTTCACCTGGAGTTTTTTTTTTGTTTGTTTGTTTTTTTATGGAGAAGGTATTCCTTTCCTATTAGGCAGAAGGCCTCTTCCAGCTTTATTCTCCTGCCAATCACCTATGATCTAACCTTGAGCCATCTACACTGTGCTTAACTCTTATTTCTCCCTCTTCCCCATTTTTCATTCAGCAGCTCTTATGTCAGCATCCTAAATGAAGCCCTTAACACCTCAAGCTATAACTACAGGCTTCTAATTGCTCTTCTCATCTCCATGGTCTCTCATATCATAACACATCCCACATGTAATAGCTTAGTGGATCTAACACAGTGATTTTATACTTTTACAGTCCTCCTTGGGGCAAGTTCTGAAGTCTTTCCTATCATTCCAGCTTTATCTCCCATTACATGTATGTAATCTCACATTGTATGGATATATATATAACACAGTGTCACGTGGATGCATTCTAAAAAGTTAACATTTTAATTTATTGAGTTAAAAAATGCCTGAAATATTTGTAAACAAACTTAGCAAGAAAAAAAAATAAAAAGCTTTTTCGAGGGAAATATTGCATGAATGATGACAAATGCCCATACAACACAATTGTTAAGTATGGAGTTTTACTTGCACTTTTATAAAAGTGTGGCTGTTTCTGGAGCAGAGAAGAGCCACTTTTAAGTCCCCGTTTGTAAAGTCCCTGTTCTAACATTCTAAAAGGCCGTTTCCTGCACCAGGTCTGTTTATAAAGGAAAGCAGACAGTGATTCAGCTGGTTGGGAGCAGCAGGCATCACTATGGATTGCCTTAGAAACAAAAATGAATTCCCCTGCTGGGTAGAATTTTATGAGCTCTGTTGGAGAATTTCTTTATGGTCCTTTTTCTCTCATGTATGTAATATATACTGATGATCCTTATGAAAACCAATTTTTATAGCACTTTTAGAAACTTCAAACTTTAACAATCATAGAAGTTTAGAGCCAACAAATACAGCTTGAGCTTATCCACATACCATCACAATGAGCACATCTTTTGTGTGATGATATTTTCAATAATGCTACATTATAGGAAAATACACCCTACTTTTATCTGTTTTACATATTGTTTTCAATGTGCTCCAGGTGTTACAATTAAAATACACGTCAATATTGTTTAAATACCCACACTGAGCAGCCTCTGAACTGTAAACTTAGCAAAGAAGACAACATTTTCTTCTCACTTTCTTTATAATAATGTTCTTTAGCCTCTCCTGTGAGGATAGCACACCTATTTTCTTTATAGTTTCTTTGGTATTTATATGACTGCCAAACATGTATTGTCTTGACTGTATCCATTTAATCTCCCTCAGTAACTTATAAATATAATGAGAACATTATTCAAATGAAAAGAAGCAAAGGTCAATTGAATTTACACTTTATTAAAATCAAACAATCCTTGTGACCCTGAAAATTGTATTTAATAACATCATATAACTGTACATTGTTCTTTATAAAACTTCAGGTGATGTCTGATTCAAAAACACTTGGACTATTACATGTTCAGTGATTTATGAAACTTCTTAAAAATAACAAAATGGAATTCATTATCTCTTATAGCCACTACTGGACCTATGGACCATTCTGAAAGACATCAGAGAGTAGGAACACTGTGATACCTTTCCATAGCAGTACAGGCTCACTAGAGGAATTCTGCATTTTTCTATTTCCTCAATCCTGGAAGCTTTGCAAAAAAAAATTCCAATTAGGTATGCCTCAACTGAAAGCTAACTTCCTACAGCTCACACTGTAGTTTGACTCTCTGTGGCACACAGATTCTTCCTCTGGAAATAAAACCACTTCTGAGAAGAAATGAAGGTGGAGTCCAAAGGGAATGAAAAGGAAGAGAGAAGAAAAGGGGGAAAATGCTGATCTCTTAACTTTCTCCATGAGAAAATCACATGAAATAGTTGCAGGATCCATGAAATGACCTAATATTTTATATTTACAAACTGTAAAATAATGTGATTCCATTGGGAGAATAAATCAGAGTACCTAAATACAAACAAATAGCAATCACTGGATTATTATAAACAACAGAATGACTAATAGTTTTGTTTGTTTTCCATTAAGGTGACATATTTGTTTGATAATGGAGGGACAGTCTTCTTTGCTATTTTTATGGCAATATGGGGTAAGTATGTTCTTCCATTATTTACTTCCTAGCCCTCATATTCTAAGACTATTGTTGTATTTCTTCATATACACATGCGCATGTCCACATACATCACATATCAATTCAACAATAAAGTCTCTTGCTTTGTTTGCCCTCTTCACACATTCACTGATTCTTTGGGAATTTACCTCTTCATGTAATCCTCTGATCCCTAAAGCCTCAGACCTTCCTGTACTAAGGAGAATATTTTTTCTTGCCAAAAGCAGGTGGTAATTAAAAACAAATTGAAACATGCTAGAATCCATATTAAGCTTCTTAAATTTTCCATCATGAAAGTGATACTCGGAAAATGTTTTGTTTGCTTAACATTTCCACTCATCTATTTTTAACCTTATACTTAATATATTTAGAGATGAAGAATCTATTCCATATGTGATTGAGCAATAATGTCTGATACATAATAAATTCTGTTCCTATCTAACATCTTAAAACTGTAAAACTTATGTTCAGGTACATGGTTTAGCTGACTTTTTCACCATGTTTCTCATTGAATTTTTAAAGTCTCCAATTAATTGATGCCTAAAGTAAATCGAATAGGTCGAAATTCCCCCACCCTTTGAAGAAAAGCAATTACTTTCCTGGTTTAGTTCAGCCTTCCTACCATGGCCCTATTGAATGCAAAATTATTGTCAAGTTGGCAGCTCAAGGTCTTGACTATGTATGTGCTGATCCAGAAAAGTACTATAATATAGTACTTTAAAATGTACTATAATATAGGTCTCTTACTCCCATTATTGTAGTTTTCCAGAAAGGGAAATTTTGTGCCATACACGCTTTTTAGCTTTAAGTCAAAAATTAAAAAAAATAAATAAATTCCTTCAATAGAATGTCAACAGTGATATATGGCATTAGGACCATAGAAGGAGCAGTGAAGAGTCAATCCATTGATTTTTGCCCTCCTTCCCCCCAAAAAAGTGAAAAGATAGTTTTGGGTCTCCATGTTCATTGAAGGATTTTTTAAATTAAATTATCAAGCATGGCAATCGAGGTGAAGTGTTTTAGTCTTACTTGATTCCACAAACATTTCTTACTAAGAAAAAATAATTGACCAAAATACAAATTAAGGTTACTCAATTGTTACTTCAGCACATCCAAAAATGTTAAGAAAGAAAATCTGTTGGATGCTTTATCCTCTCTTTATATTTCCAATACTAGTCTCATGCTTTACAGTTCTTGGCACAAGCCACATGACAGTGATCTTGTTTCAGCTTTTGGAAGCTGGGCTTGCAAAAAGGCCAGGTTGTAGATGAACACTTGCCATCTGAAGCCTTCTTCTCCTTAGTTTTATATTGAGGTACGAAGTGGAGGTATGTCATCCATAGGAATGCCATCTCGTGCATTTTCTGGTCCTGGTGACATGGATGAATCATTCACAGTTGGGTTGTAATAACTAGAGTTCCCAAAACTCACATCGTAAGGTTCCGGTGCATTGTCTAATCGCAAAACTAAAAAAAGTAACAACAACAAAAAAATTTGTTTTATAGTAACAGTCTGAAAGATACTTGCCTAGGCATGTGGCAGACCATAGGAATTGTTCTAGATAAGATGTCTATCTTTTATATGGGCTTTTCAGATATTTTAAAGTTTTAAATAAGTAGATATTTTTCAAGCCACATTTCTTTCTAAGACCAAGGGAACAGTTTAACTTCTAAAATGTCTGTTCTGGTGGACCAAAAATAAAGGAACAAATGAAGAGATCACAAGAGTCAAGCACTACTTTGTATAATGAAATATAGATAAATTCCTCATTGACTTTGAATCTCAGGATTTCAGGGGCTTGTCAATATGCTCTGATTTTTTTCCCTGTGGTAAAAAAAAAAAGAAAGAAAGAAAGAAACAACAACAACAACTTTTAAAAAGTTAAGAGTGTTAATTTTAAAACCAGTGTCATTATTCTAACACGTGTCTCCATATCTTTATAATTGAGCCCTTGAACGTGGAGACAGAGCAAACTATTTGTAGAAGCTTATGTTTCCTTCTGATAAATCCAAGATATCTTGCAACTGAAGTTTTCTGACTAATATAGGAATTTTTTCTTTTTTAACAAACAGCCAATTATTATTTTCTTAATGCTTTTGAATTTATTTTCAAAGAAAACTTGGCATGCACAAGGTACTTTTAAATACTAAAACAGTGACTAATTACTAATTAGATTAGTAATCTAATTATTCAGTGAGGTATCTTCATATCCTACCTTTTCCTTAAGCCATCTGTTTACAAACTGATCTCCTAGAACGTTAGGGATTTGGGAGAAGTGTCACAAATCTGTCTTAAAGGAGGAAAATAGGTGATGTGATTGAGTTATTTTCTTATGCCTTAATAACAACATCTTAAAATATATTAACTTAATAGACTGAGTTTTGTATGTGAGTATAGATAAAGAAAAAATTCTGAGTTTTAAGAAATAAGTTTGGAAACCCTTGTTGTTCAAAATCTTATCCTTTAATTTTGAAAACCGCCACTTTTTGGTTTATATGGATTGCTAGAAACCCATAGACAGAATTCAGTTAAATTTCCAAGAAGTGGATTTGGTTCTGAAAAGAAGTATATGTCAATCACAAAGTGAATGCATCAGAAATCAACATGACTTTATCAGTGGGACTAACCAGGGACATTTAACTACTTTTATGGCAGCAAGAGTCCCTTATGTAAACTAGAAGGAAATTGGGTGTGTGTGTGTGTTTTTTTTTTCCTAAAGTATAAAAAAAGATGAGTCAAGCATTCAAAGTGATTTCATTTTTCTTCTAAACACTGTATTATTAAGATCAAGCTCAGTTCTTTATTCTTAGCAGTTACATTCTTATTCATAGGTATTATAGTTCTTTTCCACCACAGAAGTGGAAATTTCCTGAATTAAGGTATATTGTGACTTTATGTACCCAAATATGCAACTTTATAGAAGTTCTATTTTAGGGACTTATTAAAATAATAAATTTAGAGCTATTGTGTCTGTGAAACTTGGGAAAAGCTCCAAATTAGAATTCATCTTTGTTCAAATTACTGCTACTAATAAATCCAATGATGGCAATGAATGGCTTTGCAGTTACTTGCTAACAAAACAGGCCATTTTTTTTCTTCATATCATACCATTATCTTCCAATTCTATAGACATATTTTAGGTTCTAGGATCATTATTGAAAGCCAATTGTCATGCAATGAGCAACAATTTCAAATATCTTTAAAATTTTATTCGCAGGTCCATAATTATTTTGGTTATGTTATTTGATAAACAGAGAGTAAATCAGAATAAATCTGCTCTGTTTTTGTCACATGAATCCCTTCTACAAAACGTAGTGACCATTAGCATTTTCACTTAATTAAAACCACTGTGTGCAGGCGAAGTTCTGAAAGTTGTTCTTACCTGGTTCGTTTCTGTCATCATAAAGTCGCCGATGGGAAAATGAATTAGTTTTCTTTTTTCCACACAACAAGTAGCCAACAAGACTAAGCAGCGAAGCACCCAGAATAGCACCTAAAATGGTCCCAAATACAACGCCTGTATTTCTATTATCTAGAGAACAACAAAAAAAATAATTTATAGGTAAGAAATAAAAAATGATTCAAAGAACAGAAATATATACATATAGAATTTATGTGTACCAAAAAAATGTTTAACAATGTTTTTTAAACGTTAAAGGTGACAATGTGTGTGTGTTATAAAGTACTGAGTATTTGAAATAGATTGATAAAATATACTTCCCGATAAAACAATACTTTAAATTTTGAATTGCCTTAAAATTCTTCCAACTCTTAGTTTTATAACTGTATCTCATTACTTATCAACACCGATAGTACAGAAATGCCATGTGTATGCTCCATTAGGACATCCTTTCTCTCTTGAATGCTATATTGTTTTTAGTCAACTCTGAATCTCAAATGAATTTGAATGATGAAATGAATTTTGACCTTGTTTACATAATTCAAAAGTGAAAAACTAAGGGAGAAAGTGGATAATAGAAAATAAATTCACAAAACTCCAAGCGAAAAGGTACTATAAGGAAAAGGCAATATATCCTGATAAGGATATTTTCAAGTACAACAAATAACAAAAGATATTTATAATGCCTTGCACATCAGGAACAGATGTGTAAGTCTGAGTTTAAGAAAACCCAAAATTTCATTCTATCATCCCGTTTACCAAGTACCTTATTTGAAGACTGTCATCAATAAACTTACTGCTCATATTCACTTACACTCATATTCAGTGTATTTTATTTTTAATTTTTTTTAAAAATTCCTCAAGAAGCTTACTAATTAGGTAGACAAGGGGTCTTATAGAATCTCTGATTCTGTATGAAACCCCATTTATTGAAAAAATTAGCCTTCACATTGGAAAGATAACAGCAAAATTATTACTGAAATAAAAGGGAAGCAAAGTTAACTTTTTTTTGTTTTAATTAAAGAGCAATGGTAGAAGTACTCAGTGTTCTCAATATGTCTGTAGAATTTAGGAAGAGAAAGATAATATTTATTAAAAATATTTCTAATGGAATATCAGTATGTGTAAGTGAAATGGTGTGTCAAATTATGTGTGATAAAATTATAGCTAGAATGAAATATATATATATACAATATATTGATTGTAGTGTATCGTAAAGCCTAGATTTCAGAATTTAAAACTTTCCCCGTATACTAGCAACAACTTTCAAATAGGAATTTGTATATAGGATTTGGTGTTTACATCATAATATAATTTATAAATAAGTTACATTGAAAATTGGTGAGTTCATGAGGAAAAAAAAGTATTTTTTTAATCTCAAGTAAACAGAGACCTGATAAAATAAAACATAATGATTCTTCATTAAGTATTAGAGGTCTTTTTTACATTGTTTTAAAGCTTAATGTAATCTCTAAAAATGAAGTATAAAAATGTCTCCCTAATACATTTTTCTTGTGATACTCACGGCTAAATTCCATTTTCCTGGTGGTCAGTAGGTATTAAACTAAAAACTCAGGAGGATTTCCTATTGCTGAATTTATTTACTTTTTTAAAAATATCAACGTTCTGTTTTCCTGTGATTGCTATGTGGTATCAGATAATTTATAAATTTATTTCATTCAATTGCTAAAACCCATATATGTATATTTTTTAAATACAGTATTCCTAAAAGCATATGAAATTTCTGGTAGTCTTTCTAAGATTCAGTAAAAACTGTTATACAGTATCTGAAAACTGTATCAATATTTAAGTCTCTATTTCTTTTCAGCCTAACCTACTTCTTATTTTGTCCCACTGCCTCATCTGTTCCCATACTTATAGGGTCAGTCATGTTATTCACTGAAAATAGTGAAGGGATTTTAGAACTTAAATCAGTATACACTAGAAGTGAGAACCACCTGCGCTATTGCAGTCTCCTCCTTTTTTTCTTGTCTGACACTTTCCTTCGATGTAATCTGTATGATTTACTTGGAGATTATTTCAAACAAAATCTGTTTATATTTACCTTCTTGAGGGTCTGATGTATTTTGAAAGATTTTTGAATTATTGGTGAATTTTAATGTGGGCTGTAGAGTCATTTCCTTATAGGGGGTAAACCCCGCCAAGTTATCACTGGTTATGGGAGGCCATCCATCTGGTTCTGTTGTCATGGGGTTCAAAGATACGGCAGTTGGTGCTGACGAGAAGGTGCTAACTATAGTAGAATTGTTATCAGGAGTTTTCATGGTAACATTGACTGAAGACCAAGTAAACTTTTCTGAAGACACAGCAGATGTAGCATTGGGAGGTGCTGAGACTGATAGAGGATTTTCGTCTGCTACAGATGAGTTCTGAGGCGATGTAGCAACAAAGCTGTGGGTCAAGGGAGGGCTTGTGGAAAATATCGGCATGGGTCTCGAACTCCTGGAAGAGTTGTCTGTTGGCAAATTATTGACGAAATCTGTTGTTTCATGGATTTTATTTGATGGATCCGAAAGAGAGGAATTATTTGCTTCGGGGTTAGAGGTTTCTATGTTTTCTTTATTTGATTTTAAGTTCGGTTCACTTTCCAAAGGAACAGATTTATTCGCCATTGTTTTTAAGCCTTCTGCGATGTTTTGTGTTGTGGTTATTTTGAGATGTTCTTCCCCATGGCTTCCTAGTAGTAGTAAACTAAACAAGGTTGAAATCGACAGAATTTGGGCTGAGGTCAACATTGTAGCCTTCTTTGATATAGGCATTAGTAAGACAAATCTGGAAGAAAATAATAATCTTTTCAATTATTAAGCTATTGAGGTTTTTTAAAAATAGATTTATATCTTTAAAGTGATAAAAATCTGGAGACATAATGCTGAGATGATATACCATACTCTTAATTCCAAAAGTTTGTTTTCTTTGAATTATATACTAAAACTACAATAATTGAGTTCTATTTTCTGGATAATATTTTATTCTTCCTTCCTCTAGAGTGATGCCATGCAAAACCTGTATCAAGCCAGACACTACTCTCCACTATTTTAAAGATCATTTAACTAGGAACAAGTTAGAATATACACACAACAATATATGGACTGCTAAGTAAAATTTTTAAAGTATTGTAAATATAGTACATATAGAGCTGGCTGATTTCTTCGACCTATTTAAGAAAACATGTTCTTTACAAAGATGTAATTTGGCATATTTATTATGAAAATGAAGTTACTTAATATATATTAAATGTACCACTTTGAGTCAGTCACTTGAAAAGATTTTAATGCCTAATTTGAGTTATTTGAATTTGAAATTAACATCTCTTTTTTCACAAGGCTTTTCACTTCATGATGCCCTTCTTTCTATTAATTTTAAATTAGGGAAAATCAGAAAGACTTTTAGATTTTGATTTTTTAATCATATTTTTTTATTGTGTAAATGAAGAGTCTGGTTGGAAGTGTGTGTAGAAAAATTTATCTAGCTAGATAGTTGCAGGTTTAGGGTTTGGAGTCATGGTCCTGACTTGCAATCCAGGCACATCATTTTGCCTCTTAAGTGTGGAAGTTCCCCAAATTCATAGGTAGGAAGGTCAGAGGAAAAAGGGTTTTGAAATTAGTTTTATATTAAAATTATGGCTGATAAATAACCTGTGAAAAACAATCATCATAACAAGCAATTGTTTTATCATCATCATCATCAACATAAACATACCAATTTCACATTGTTGTTCTGAGGACTAAATGAGATGATTTAGCTAGAAGTACTCCGAACAGTATCTGGCCTAAATTAAGCAGTTAATAGATATTAACTTTTATTTCTTATTAAAATATAATAATATTTCGTGTCTTACAGTTTACAGAGTTTACAATATCATCTCACTTGATAATCACAATGATCCCATGAAACAAAAAGAATAGCTTGTATTATCCCCGTTTTGCAGATGAAGAACCTGAAGTTCAGAGTGGCTAGAGCTGGAGGCTGGTAAATGCAGAAGGCAGCACTGAAAGGCGAGTCTTCCAACTCCTACCTAATTAGGTGCCAAAATTTAGTGTTTTAATTGAAAAAGTTATTCTTTAAAAAAAAAATTAAACTATTCCTCCTCAAACAATGGAGTGAAAACTGATGTATTTTGCATTGAACCTTAGAGTTTACTTTTCACTAAAAGCCTCCAGGATCACTAAGATAACAAAATAGAGGATATGCTACTGCTATTATTTAGGTCCAATATGACTAGCTATTTCTTAAAAGTTCTTGATGATTTCTCATTAGGATCTGAGGAACTTCTAAGCACTCCTTATGATTATCATTTGGTTTTCAGTCCCCCGCCCATCTTTATTTAATGATTTCTTACATAATTGCACAACTTAAATATATCTATAATACATCCTGATATAATTTTTTCTTCAAAAGCTTTTAGCAAAGCAGTCCATACCTGTGGAATCCCGAGGTTTTAGAGATATAATATCTGTCATGTCCTATGCTTATCACTTAAGAAAGGCTATTTAAAAATCAAGGCAATCAGAAATATAAGAACAATCATAGGGACATTATTTACAAGTGTCTCCATCCTAAACATCCATCAGTAACAGATTGGATAATTAATTGTGTGATATTTATTTCTGGAAATTAACAAACACAGAGCCTAAAATGCCAGTTGTACTGTGTAATTCCATGTATATAAAGTTCAAAAACAGGCAAAAAAAAAAAAATAGAATGGAAGTGGTTACTTGTGGGAAAGATGGAGATAGTATTAATTGGGTGGGCATGGAAGGGCTTCTGTATGCTCACGATATCCTGTTTATTGATCTGGTAGGGATTACATAGGTATCTGTATTTGTGATAATTTTGCTTATTTATTTTACATTCACTTTTCTGTCATAACCAAGAAAGTTGACTTAGATACTAAAGATTGTTAATATACCTGGAAAAATATTGCTATTATGCATATATTATATCAGATGCTTTGCACGTTTTCTCATTTAATTCTTACAATCGAACAATGTGGAAGGGATTATTAATGCTATTTTACAGATGATTAAATGGAGAAAAATATAAATAATGCGTGCAAAGATGCACAGCTAGTGACTGAGAGATAAGGTTAGGATTCAAACCTTGCCATTAAAGCTTGTAATCTTACTCATCTGTGTAAAAAGTTACAAAGGAATCTAATATTTGGTACTTGGCTGCTTTTTAGAACCTTTTCCTATCAACATTTTCTTAACATGCCTTCTTCAGATTTTATGATTTTAATCAGAGTAACTTATAATGGCATTTTTAAACACTTGGAAAATAGGGCCTTCTACCTTAAATGCCTCTCAAACACACTAAATATCCTAATTTAAGAAAATCTGAACAATTGTCTATATGGTTTCTAGATGGACACTTTTACTCTGTAGTTTACAGATTAACATTAACAAAACACAAATGATTATCCCCAAGACCTATAGAACACCAACATTTCATTAAACTGATGCCATATGTAGCACTTTTAAAATGCAATTCCATTTAGGTTTAAAATACTCACACATGCTTTTTCAGAAACACCTTTCTCCTGTGAACTCTGTCAGGTTCACGGCACACATTATAGCCTTTTCTTTGGGTCCTGCCAGTGATCTGATTGGTTTATGAATTGTACTTGGCCACCCATCTTGTCATCATTATGCTGTTTGATTTGATTTCCCTATACCTGAGCTTTCTGATTATTTTCTCTTCCTAATGAAGAGGTCACCAGAGAAGGAAAAGCGGCCCTTTGCTATTATAATTTTCTCAGTATGCCACGAGGAACATGGCACTGAGCTTTCGCTTCCTTCCCGTAATGAGAATGCACATATCAAGCAAGAGTCAACAAAGTGAGTTTTGTTGTTCTATTTCATTTTACTCTTAACATTGAACCACCAAGGGGATGTCTCTACCCTTCACTCAGCTTTAGATTGCAATGTGAAAACCTGAGGTAGCAATACCCCAAATGAGCTAAGCGTTCTGTTACTGGCTATAATTTATCCCCAGAGAAAAGAAAGGGAAGAGAGGGATAAGACAGTGTGCTGTGAATACCATTTAAAGTTTTTTTTCAAAATTAATACAGTTGCGGGTAAGGCTTTTATGAATATTGATTTATTTCTGTTGTCCTGATGTGGCAGCAAGGGACAACTTTGCTTCTGCTCCATGGCTTCTAGGGAAACCAGGTTACACCTTTTACTCAGGTCCTTTCATCTTAAAAGGATAGAAGCAGCCAGGAATTGAAGCCATCAACGGTTTAGAATCCCAGCCCTGGACTTTTGCTGGAGCAAAGACTAAGCAACTTTAGTTAAGTTTGATTCCATTCTTATCTGAACAGAAAGTACATTGTAAGCAGCAAAGGCTAATGGAGGAGGAGTCACAGAAGCTCCAGAGGACAATAAAATGAAATCCGTATTCCTTCTCTTTGCACTTGCCTCTCAGCCTCTCCCCATCTGTAGCTTTTAAATACTTAAACTGTGTTATATCCTTGTTACGTAAAGCTAAATTATGCTGGATGATGGATGGCATACTTGTGTGTGCTCAAGTTCATCTGTCAGCCAGATACAGTGTAGAGGCAGACAGAAGGTGGGATGAAAGAACAATGAAATTGTAGTGGGAGAGATCAGGAGAACCAGGCACTATCATTTCCCCTTCTGTTCTTTGCCCTTTCTTGCCCCTAGGTGGAAACTCCTAAGAGGAATTTTGAGGGTATAACATAGGAACGGAGCTAAGATCACTACAAACTTGAAAAACTTCAAAGATTAGAATTATTATAAAGGGAACAGAAAAAGAGGATTCTCATCCACTTTGTGATACCTTAACACAGATTCTAAATCTTTCTGTATATATTGTTTTTATTGTTTCTAGTATGTAACAACTTAAAATATACTTTAAGAGAATGTGAGTTTCACTTTTTTTAAAAAAAAATAATTCCTTTACACGGAGAAAAATGAACACTTTCTCTCCTGTCTTTGGTGTTGGCACTAAAAAGTGGTTTCACATTACTACTTTTGTATGGAGGGGTGCAGAAGGTGGTGAGAGAAAAAACTGTGGCCATTATGGGAAGCAAATCCACACTTTCCGTGCATAATTTTGCTTCTCTTTAAATGCATAAATTCATTATCCTGCTCAGTTTTCTTGTTGTAACTGAGTTATACCCATTTTAAACCAAGCTTTGAAAATGAGGAGGTATCCTGGTTTGTGTCAGGTAATCAACCCATGCAAGGGAAGAGAAATGCTAGTCATTCTAAACTCCATCAAAATCAAAAATTTTAAATAAAAACATTACTTCGGGCACACCAAGGGGATAATATAAAAACATCTTTCTGCAATAAAATTACTGAAGAGTAGACACTGTAGTACCTCTCTCAATTTCTTTTGACTACTTCTTGTTAGAGATCTCAGGCTACAGAGTCAGATGGGTTTTGTCTGTCTTTGTCACAGGAAACTCAGTCTGACATGTAGCCAATATCCCAAGCAGAGGCTGAGTGTTACTATGAGTGGCCTTTCAAAAACCTAAATGAAAGCTACAGTAAAAGAGGACATAAGGAATTATGCCTCTATAACGCCTCTTTTGTGAGGATTTTGAACAGGTGAGAAGACATAATTAGCCATAAAGTAGGATTGTACTGAGTACCTTAGGCATATCACTTCACTTTTGTTTGCTTTAAAAAGAAAGAAAGGAAAAAAAGAAAAAAAAAAAACACTTGACTTTCCTTCAGGAAAAAAAAAAGTTTCAAGTTTGGGAACATTATTCTAATTAAAAAACTAAGATCTGCATAAATCCAGGAAAATATATAGAATGTCATACTCCCTGCTGACTTGGACATTCTCAGTCATAAATGTTAATATTGAAATAATTAAGTTAAAGAGTGTCAAGCTGAGAAAAAAAGAAAGATTGTGTCTCTACAAGAAATATTTTGGACCCAAATTCCCAAACATGGGGCTTTCAGCCTTCTATCAAGTTTCATTGTAAAAATAGCCTCTGTGGATCAGTAGAAAGTGGGTGAATGGTAAACTTACGTCCCCTTTAATAAAAGGAGTCTTAAATAGCCACGAACTGAAAATAATTTCAAGAAACTTTATTCACATCTTTGTTCCATAGGATGTCTTCTGTAGCAACTTATTTAGGCTTTTAGATTTCCAATGAGTGGTAGACATGTACATATATCATGCTAAGTAATTTGGGAACATAAGTAATTATATACACAAAATTTTGCCAATTTTTAAAGAAAGTCTTTGGGAATATAATTCATTGTATTAATTTTTTTTTCAAAAACTATCATATTCTAATACTTTAGCAACAACCTTTAAGCCCAAATGCATAATTTAAATCTAAATATTCAATTTATATTCACTATTTCTATTTTAAATATTTTGAAATTTTTACTAAGGTATGGCCTAAGGAAACTCTTTCATAGCCATATATGTTTTAAGTAAAGTTATTTTAGTTTCTTAGCTAGTTTTATCACCTAGTAAATTTGGCAGTAGTTCTTAAAGTTAATTCAATAGTGCAAATGCTCATTTGGAAGGTAATTACTCAATGAAACAACTACCTCTCCTTATACAGTTTTCTGTAGCTACTTGCCAGACTGTTCTGTCAAAAGTTGAGCCTGCTTTGATTCTCTTTAGAAAATAAATAAAAGAGAGAGAAACAGACAAACACAGAGATGGGGAAGGAAGAATTCTATGTAACCCAGCAGCTGGCACACACTTACCTTCAGGTCTAGGAGGCATTTACAAACAGGAATTGAAATACCACAGCTGTCCTGGCTGGAATAAGTCTGTCTTGCCTTAGAGAAAGCGGGTGAGTTAAGTGTGATGACGTCCCACTAAGCAGGGCGGGGGGGCCAGAGAAAGAAAATTAGGTAGGGCTGGCTGTACCTTGCTTGTGTAATAGAGTACCCAGGAACCTGACTGACCTGCTTCTCAGCTGTCAGCATGAAGATACCACCTCATTCAGGCCTAAGAAAAACAAGTCCAACCCTCCAGCTTTGATAGGTTGATTGTCTTGACTTCGGGGCAGGCTAGTTGTCTTGAGTGGTGGCAAACAAGGGGCATTCATTTCTTGTCGTAAAAAAAAGGACAGAGACTTTGGTAACATTTTCTGGTGTATCAGGAATTTCTGACACATGCTGGGTTCTCCCTTTGCAGGTGAGGAAACCAAAAAGAGCCACGCCCTGCACCTGTTACTGTGTGCTGGACGTGTGGTGTTCTCCTGACTCAGAAATGAATATTTCCCATAGTAGGACACCCTGTTTATGTACTTAAAACCTAAATGGAGAAAATGTAGTGGAGTCAGTAGTGAAGGGCCCGTCTGCAGTGCACTGAAATTGATTTTATAGAAATTCATCTTGCTGAACACAAGATGAATTAGTGTGTATTGGGATCCTTGAGAAAGCTGTAAGCTTTAAGTTAAAAATAATCACCAGGATTCAGATGGAGTTTTTTTGCTGACTTTCAGGAGTTTGAGGAGTAACTCGGTCCTGTCTGAAAATGGCCACATGATCCTGAGTAATCCTGGGAGCTTTCTGGATGAAGTAGTTTCCATCCTGTATTCTCCCGGCTTTTATTCTCAATTTAGAAGCTGGAGAGTTTCAGAAGTGCTCGGGAAATGCTTGATTAAATACTAGAGTCGAATAACAACCTGGCATACTTCCTCACTTCCTTTCACGGCTTATGAAAGGGAGAAGAGTGAAACTGCACTTTCTGGGATTTTCGGCACATCAGTATGTGGGGACTGGCGCCAAGGTCTGTTCAGCTCAGTATGCCTGAGGTTCATGCTTAGTTTCTGTTGTGCAAGGAGATATGTTTCCAGTTGCTGAGAGAGAAAACGAAACTTTAGCTAAGGTTCAGGAGCTTCAAATTGAATGCAAAGAATCTGCCCAGTTAATTGGCCCCAGGAAAGAACAAGGTAATTCTATAGTTTTAAATTTGCTGAAGTCCAAAGCCCTCTTCAGAGTTTGATTATAAATTAAACCAACCCCTAAAAAAAGGCTTACTCAAAGGATATGTATGCTGTATCTGCACTGATATGAAGAAAAGCAACGTAAATTCAATCAAGCAACTAGTTATTAAGCAGTGGCTTAATAAAATTCAATTATTTATTTTCAGATTAACCAGTTAGTAGGAAAAAAATCCAACTGAAAAAAATATTTTGAGGCTGTACTTAGAGAACCACACATGGCTTGGCAATATTTGGTGTACTGTATCCTTAGGAATTTTCCTAGATACGTATATGAATATTATTACCCTTTTGTGACCTGACCTTAGTAATTATGGCTTATGCCATAATTACAAGGTACCTTTGTTTTGCTACAACTATGCTTTCACTGCCATAAGAGTCAAACATGACTCTTTTCTGGAGATTCCAGCAATGGCCTTGGAATCCTTTTTATCACTGCCCTCCTGACAACCATAACCAATTGATTAGAACTGACCCTAGAGTTGATCCTATTTACTCTCCCTGTCATAAGCACATCTGGAAATAAAGTTATAAATGAAAACTGTGTATAAATCTAATGCCTTAGTTACTACTTTGCTCACTTACTTGTGATCAGAAACCTTTGTGAAATCACCTAGTTGGAGTTAAAAAGTAAGTTCTTGCCAAACAAACAAGTCTCCCTGAGATACATTTCCAGGTATATACCATATTCTAGGAAAAACCAGTTCCATTTTGGACCTTGTTTCTCCAGAGTAACTCAACAATAAGGGACGATTATCTGAGAGTTTCATCAGCCAAGCCAGCTGAGATGACACACAGTGCAATGCTTATGTAATTTTTTTGTACTTACCAACTATGGTGCCTTTCGTTTGGCACTCAAACCATTTGCTTTACACCCATTAATTAAGTCTCACATTATATATTGGAAGAAGAAACACCTCCTCTTGGTCTGAAACAGTGGAACCACTTGCAAGTAGATTTTCCAGAACATGAGCTCACATTATTGTCACTGATGGATCTGAAAATAGACTGAGAAAATAGCTTGGGACCTTTCCTCAAATAGAATGAAAGCATTGTTCTAGATTCAAAATGGTATCTCTTTTACAAATACTATAACATTGCATGCCTGATGCTGATGTCACACATAACAAATTCATTAATAGCAGGTTATGAGTTTGAAAGAGGATATAAATCAAATTCATATTTTGTCTCCACATAGAAACATGGACACTTTAAACAACAAAGAAATATCTGATCATTAATAAAATAAATAACATCATGGTTATATTCTTTAAGGGTATTTCCATGATATTCTTTATGAATACCATAGAAATTGCTGGCTGTATCATTTCATTAGGGATGCTGGTAGTTATTTCAATATTCTGTTAAAAACAGAGGGGATCATTCACAGAAATGCTAATGGTTTATTAATATACAAGCTTACTGTTTTTCCTATTAAGTAATATGGTGTTATAATATGGTCTTATTTTAACTATAACTTTATGGAAAGGTTAAGTAAACTTCATTTTGGTGCTAAGGGCTATCTAGGACTATACCTGTTGTTAAGTAGAAGTTCTGACATAGTATATACCTATATACTTGGGTTCATACTTGCACACATACATACATACATGGGAAACTAAGGAAGGTTGTAATGCTGATAAATCACATAAAACTTTAATTCAGGCATGGTTCAAAGAAGTGAATGACATAACTATAATGAAACGTATTGCATTCCTATCAACACTTTTGTATGAAAATGTTTTCTCAGTAAATATCTTCATAATACAAAAAAATTAAGAGTTGATATTGAAACCTATCTAACTGTAGTAAGAAGTAGCGGGTTTCCATGGATGCTTAAACTAATTAAGAAACAAATAAAAAGCTCACGATATCCTTAAGAGATATTTTTATAATAAAATCTTAGATTTTATTTTTTATATTCGTTAAATTTTGGAAATTGGTCTGTTTTATTAACTGTAATAACTCAATCTAGATTGTTTTTTCAAGTAAGAGCCTCATGTTAACAAGAGATTGTTAAGACAACTTTCATTTCTATCTATATTCTTTGTTTTTTCAGAGAAGTATGACAAGATAATAATCATGTTCAGACATAAATATAAAGGATTTTATTCTGAGATAAAAATAGAGTAGAAATAGATTTAAAAACCTGTCTTATCTCCTTTAGCTAATTATTTTCCCACAATACTTCCTGCTATTCGGAATACTTTTTCTTATTTATTTGCGATATATATTGTCTGTTTCTATACTAGAAAACTCATGAAAAGAAGAGTTTTTGTTTGCTTTCTTCATGTCTTTATCCATGGAGCTAGAATAATTCCTGACATGGACTAAATGCTCAAAAAATGCATAAATGAATGAATAAATAAGTGAAGGATATATGAACAAGTAAATATTTAAAAATAATAACAAAACATAAGTGAATATACTAAGCATAAGACATCTGTAAGCTCCCCTTCCTTCTGCCTATGATATTTTTCTTTTTATTGGCTCATTCAGATTTGAAATCTGCTTTTTTTTTTCACTTAAAGATATTCCTTGGATATTTTTATATGGTTTTACCTAGATCCTTGAACTGTTTCCTTCAGCAGGTGATAAGAGAGGGAAGCTAGTTTATATGAATTGATTTAGCTAGAGATGCACAAATCTTGTCGTAGCAGGTAAGGCTGTAGAGGCTGCGGGGACAAGTGTAGATAAGTGGGTAGATATAGTTTGGGTGGATAATTTCTTTTGACTACTTTATTTTTAATGATGAGGTAGACAGCAAAATTGCAATTAAGTAATAGGAGTGTAGCTGCTGGATATTAAAAGAGAGAAGAGAAAGTGTGACACCATGGCAGCTTCAAGGATCCACTCAAATTATTTTAAAATAAAACAAGTTACCCAGCATAGCCTTGTTTTTCTCCAGTGATGTTAATGTTGATGGGTGCAGATAGACAGTAGGTAGAGTATTGTTTTTAACTAGGATCATATTTAAACTATGGATTTTTGACAAACTGAGACAGGAGCTAGAGAGTTGAAGGTATATGCAAGTGAGTGAATATAGTGATTGACCATTAGGAGACATAAAGGTAGAAGTAAAGGTATAAAGGAAGGACAGTGAAAATACGATGAGGTCAGTGGATTAAAAATCTTGGTCGATTGTTGGAATTGGAGTTTAAAGGAGTAAGCTAGAAGGATGGAGGTGATAATTGGAAATTATAGAGGATTCGTAGCCATTGATCAAAAGTATACCATGGGAGTATATACCAAGTTCTGACCTAGTATATACTTTGAAGATAGAATTGAGAAGTCAAGGTCCTAGAAAGATTATCTATGTATATTGTAATTGCAAAGAATGATTTTAAGAGTCATGCTGATGAGTTACATTAAGCCAAGAGTTTAAAAATCTTTAGAGAAGTTGGGGAAATGTCCCAGGGAGCATTAGATGACTTCCCCAAGAAGAGATAGCACAAAGTATGGACTGATAATGTGAGACTCAAATCTGTGAATCTTTAAGAGAAAATTATCTTGAAGTATCAATGAGGAACAAGAAATTCACTACTTCATCTTCAGTACTTATTTTGTAGAAGACAAATAGCCATCACCTGAGAATGTCACTTGGACAGTGTGATTTCAGGGGCATCCCAGTTAGATCAAGAAGGTGAGGGGACATAAAAGATGTTACTGTGGATGACTTTAGGTAAAAGACGGCATTGTGAAAGTATCTCAAAGAGTGGGGAAGGAGTGGGAGATGATCACAAAAGCAATCCCGATTTCCCTGGAAATTGAGGATCAAAATCTGAGGGTTAAGGGGTAAAATTCTAGTT